CAGCCGGGGCACGCTGTTTACGCCCTGCGGTTAAGGTGGCAGACTTCGTCGCAAAGCAGAGCATAATCCAGACTCTACCGTTGATCTTTGTCTTTTTCTTCTTTAAATGCAAACATTCCCTCCGATGTACGACTGTGAAAATTGATTGTCCTCCATAAAGCGTGAGGGTTGGTTTTTTTTCCAGTTTGGGGCTGGCTGTGTGTTCTTTCCTCGCCCTGAACAGTAGAAAAGAGCACCGGCGCTTAGAAGGATCCTAGCCCGCCCCCCCCCCCCGGCCCTGTATTCGAATCTTCCGTGTGCTCTCTTCTAGTGCTGCGTCCAAATCCAAGCCAGTGATTCTGTATCTGCCACTTGCTAACGTCTACTGCTGAAGTCCCAAAGAGACTCCAGAGAGCTCCTCCCCTGCTGTTACAGACAGACTGACACGGCCACACATCTCGATCTGTCACATTCTAGCTGTACCAGAAGCAAATTTGTGCTTGTCGTTAAAGTGCTCTTGCCCTTCGCCGCCGCTAGAGGCAGACTAACCGGGCTTACCCATCTTAACTGGGCTGCCAGAAGTACAAGCTGGGTTTCGAAGCTCCGAGCTCAGGAGCGATGCTGCTTGGCTTGTGCCCAGGTCCCTGCTACTGGCAACGGGTGGCAGCCGGGCCAGGACTTTGGAGCCATGCACTGCTGACCTGGGCAAAGGGCGGTGAGGTTCTCTCTGGCTCCTCAGTGCTCCAAGAACATCAGAGAAGCCAATGTTGGATCAGGCCAATGGCCCATCCAGTCCAACACTCTGTGTCACACAGTGGCCAGAAATACCAGGTGCCCTCGGGAGGTCCACCAGTGGGGCCAGGAGGACACCAGGAGCCCTCCCACTCTTGCCCCCCCCCCAAGCACCAAGAAGACAGAGCATCCCTTGCCCCACACCGAAAGTCCCTATCTATACCTGGTGGCTCATAGTCACCAATGGACCTCTGCTCCATATGCTTATCTATATCCCTCTTGAAGCTGTCCATGCTTGTAGCCGCCGCCACCTCCTGTGGCACTGAATTCCATGTGTTCATCACTCTTGGGGTAAAGGAGGACTTCCTTTTATCTGTTCTAACCCGACTGCTCAGCAATTTCATGTAGTGCCCACGAGTCCCAGTATTGTGAGAAAGGGAGAAAAACACCTCTTTCTCTACCTGCCCCATCCCATGCATAATCTTATAAACCTCGATCATGTCACCCCTCAGCCATGTCTCCAAGTGTTCCAACCCTTTGATCATTCTAGTTGCCCTTTTCTGCACTTTTTCCCAATGCTATAATATCCTTTTTGAGGTGTGGTGACCAGAACTGTACACAGTCCTCCAAATGAGGACGTACCAGATTTATACAGGGGCATTATGATACTGGCTGATTTGTGTTCAATTCCTTTCCTAATAATCCCCAGCATAGCTCGACATTTTCATTGAGTTATCTACAACAACTCCAAGATCTCTCTCTTGGTCAGTCTCTGCCAGTTTGGATCCTGTATTTATAGTTAGGATTTTTGGCTCCAATGTGCATCACTTTACACTGTAGGCTGGGGGGGGGGCACCCAGTACGGCAAGAGCCCCGCCCTCCTCTGTTGGGGGTACGGGTGGGACAAGGTTTTTTTTTGGTCCTTAAAAGAAGCCAAAGGCCCTATCAGAGGGCGATAGCACTTCTCTGGGGGTGCCTGTGACCTCTGGATCAGAGCCAGCCGGGAGAGTGCCTACAGGGGGTGGCCCAAGGAGGGAGGGAGGCTAGGTTACCAGCTTCCAGGTGGGGCCTGGAGATCTGGCATTAGAACTGAACTCCAAGCGACAGAGATCAGTTCCCGTGGAGAAAACGGCTGCTTTGCAGGGTGGATTCTGTGTCATTATACCCTGTTGAGGTCGCTTCCCTCCTGCTTGGGTCCCCACTGTGGAGAAAGACTGTACTTTCCTAGGTAGAAGCTGCAGGTGGGGAGGAGATGGTAATCGGACGCTGTGGCGTTATGCACACTGCTGAGGTCCCGGCCCCCCTTTCCAGGTTCCACCCCCAAATCTCCAGGAATTTCCCAACCCGGAGTTGGCACCGGCCGGCGAACCTCCTGGCAGAGGCGCTGGCGGCCGGGGGCTCCACCCGCAGGGACGCCAGGAGTTGCCGATAGG